ATTGAAGTGGTCCTCATGTTCCCCCCTTCCTTGCTTAAACAATGAAATAGTTTCTAAAGACTTATAATAATATATATATTTAATAACTTTATTTTGGAGAAGTGAAATTGCTAACTGCTATTTTTCTCTGGATAAGTTTGAAGATGTAGTTTACTCCTCACCAAAGGCTTAGGTGATACAGCCTAGGCTGGTTTATTTTTTTTTTACAGCAAAGAAGAAAAAGTATCCTGTCACAGAACTTAGTTTTTATATAAATATAAAATAGATGGATAATGTTTATCCTTTATTTTTCTATGTAGGCATTTGGTTTGTTTTTTAAATACTATTGCAGCTAGATGCTGAGCTGTTTATAAAGGGCTAAATTCTTCCATCCTGTGTAAGGAAGACACAAAAGCATTTATTTTTATAGCCAGATTGGCTTTAATTATATGGCATTTAACCCCCAAACAGTGGCCTGGATTCTCGTGTGGGTGTCAAGGTACTTGGTAGCCCCTTGAGACTTGCTGAGATTGGGGGGAGAAGGAGTGGGGACACCACTTTGGGGAAACTGTAGGGCATCAGGGAGGGGCACCCCAAAATACCTGGTCATTTTGTAGGGGAGAGGGGGAAACTATTGATTCAATTTTTTTACAAGGAGACTTTAAAAAAATGTAGATTTTAAAGAAGAGTATTTTTTTTTTGGTTGTTTGCAAACACTTTTTTTAAAGGTACATTTTTATGGTGTGTGATAGCTGAACAGCCTTCATCCTCCCTTAATTTATTCATACTTCTTTTTCACTAAAGCCCTGATCCTGCTTACGGGAGCACCTGGGCACATCTCGATAGCTGGCGGGGTTGAAGCGGGGTGCACGGAGCTGATCTGCTCCTTGGAGGGGGAACCTGCAGCTTCTGTTTACAGTTCAGCTACCGAGTTGTGAGGGTCACATCCTGACCAGCCCCAAACCAGCAGCAGGCAGGGAAAGCCTTGGGTAAGTCTCACCCTGCAGGACTGAAGCCACCTCTCAGCCCATGTTTGACAATAAACTGCTGCTCATCTCTGTTGGGGAGGAAAAAAATACCAAAAAAAGCCAACAACAACAACAAAAAGCCACCAAAACAACAAAAAAAATCCAACCTAGAGAGGTTCTTTGCGCTGTGGGTTTGGTTTTGCTGTGGTGGGATGCTGAGCTTGACCAGCAAAGCTGTGCCTGCTTGGGAAGGGTGACAGCTTTGCTGTGTGCCTTGCTCCTCCTAGGAATGGCTCTTCCAAACCCAAATGTATCGTTTAGCCAGTGACTTGGATGATCAGTAGCTAAAGAGGGATTTTAGGGTCCTGGATGTGTTAATATAAATTACAGGACACCAATTAGCACATCTCCATCCTCCCTGGAACTTGCCCCACCACCAGCAGCAGCTGGTGTCTCGAGATGCTGTGCATCTCCTTTCTGCCGGGGAAGCTTGTGGAGATGAAGCTTCACCTTGCTGTGGGCACTGCAGGGGGGAAAACCACAATGCAGAGGGCAGCTTTTGGGCTGGCATGTGTCACTGAAGGTGTCACTGGAAGTGTCCCATCAGCCAGATGTATCGTGTAGGATGACACTAAGCAGAGCTAATCCTTTTACTCCGTTATTTGGAGAAGGTAAATCAAAGAGCACCTCCCTGGGTGGTGGTGTCGCATGTGCCTTGTGTGAATTAACCTTGTACCACTGATAATGGTGAAATGAGCTTCTTGATGCCTTTTTGTCATTTCAACTGAATGAATCACTGTGTCAAACGCACCCTGTGTCTTAAAGTGTGAAAGTTGGAAGCTTGAGGCTGCTGGTCTCGGTGGTGCAGCTGGAGAAAGCCCTCAGCTCTCTCTGCACATGATGATCCTTGAGGCTGGAGGTCTTGGAGCTGTTTGTTAATCTTGGATGTCTTTTTCCTATTGACTTTAGAAACTGGAGAGTCACTAACCGGAACCAGAAACTGCACAAAAGATTTCCATCGGAGATGGGCATAAACACTTAGATGAAAATTTTGGGTCACTTTAATATTAAAAAGACAAACTGTAGCATAACGTGGAAGGTGACAGCTTTCAGTGTGACTTTGGTAGCTGGGAGTCATACTTGGCAAGCAGTCCTCAGTGCATCATCCTCTTCCTCTGGTCGCTTAGCTTTAATCTTTCTGACTTCACCTTGGCTATTCTGGGAGAACTTCATCTCCTGTATGGAGTAACCTGGGAGTAGCTGGGACATGAAGGATGGACTTGCCCAAGGCACAGAGCCGGTGGCTGTGGAGTGATTGGGAGGGTGGTCGTGGTTTTGACCAGCTGAGCATCATAGTGGGAGGGGAGGTAGCATCCCATTTTGGTCACTAGCCAGAAAAATGTGTATCCTGAGTTTTAAGCACATTAATAATTAAATCAACCAGATTTTCTTGGGATCTTGCTCTGCCTTGAGCTGAGAGTGATTGAGGAGCACTTGTGTGTTTATAGAGCTCTTTATACTATCTGATCAAACCAGACTTCCCATTCTGCAGCTGGGAACGTGCCCAGTTGCTCTAATAATTGCAAGGGTCTCATGTTTAAAATAATTCCTTTTTTATGTAATGCTGGATCCCCAGGTGAAAACCCCTTCACCGAAGCCGTTGCTCCTCATCTCTTTTAGGTTTGCATTGGAAAGTTTTGCTGCGAGTCTGAAGTTTTCTTTTAACCTGGTATGTGAAACATGTACTGCTGCTTTGTCTGCAACAAACGCACATATTATTTAAGGGGGAGGATGAGTAATTTTGTCTGCAGTTCTTAAAGTTTATATATATATATATATATATATGTATTTTTTTTTTTTGCCTGCCTTGGAATTTAATGTGTTTCCTTAAAAGTATATTTAACAATGCAGGAGTTCATTTGTGAAATGCTGCTACAGTTGTATCACTGGAGCTCAAGGAAATAAAGAATATTTTGGGTTTTTTTGTCCTTTTAAGGCTCATGCTTGTGGCTTTTCTTCGCTGTGTGGTTGGGCATCGAGCTCCGACTGGGGCTGAGCAGCAGGAGGGTGTCAGTGGCTTGGGGTGGGGGGAGGCGGGCTTTTTGGACAGGCTGATGTCTGGAGGAATGGTGCCTTCTAGTGTTGCTTGAACACTTGGCAAGCTCAGCACCTCACCATCTGAGTCAGATACAGCTCTTCGTCATCACGCTGGAGGAAGAACATACTTCTGGGAGGGGTTTTGCAGCTTGGCAGGAGCTGACATCTCTCTCATGGGTTTGCACTCCTCTAGGAGCCGCTGAAGAGTTTCAAATCGTTGTCCTCTTGGCAGTGACTTGGCTTCCGAGATTTACAGAGCGAACCCACAGACTGTGGCTTGTTCAGCAAATTCCCAAATGGGAATTTCTTGCACCTTTGGGGTGAAGGCCCTGGGGGAGCTACTTGTTTGCTGAGGTTTCCATAATATTTGCTGCATAATTTGAAGGGGAAACCTCAGAAGATACTAAGCTGCTTTAGATTTTTACCTTCCCCTTCAATAAAAAAGGGGAAAAAACACATTTATTGGTGTGGTTTCTGCCCAGCACTGGTGCTGGGGGAAGGATGCTGCCCTTAAAGCTGAGCTGAGCAGCATCAGGTTAATTAGAGCTGCCCCAGAGCCTGGGGCTAAGAAGTTTGCAGGGTAGATGGAACCCCCAGGGCTTGGCCAAAGTGGGCTCTAAAGGAAAAAAGTGAGACTCAACCAAAACCTTTTCATTAAGGTGTCAAGATGATGATGTTTTCAGTGAGGAGCGACTGTTTCTGGCCCTGAGGTGGCTTTGTGAGTGTTTTGGTTTTCAGCTTTCTGTCTGATACAGGTGCCTTTGCTCTGGTCTGGCCCTAGGGATAAATCAACTGTGTCATTTATCATCTCAGCTGATGCAGGAGTTTGGGGAAAAAAACCCCCCACATTTATTATTAATGCACATATTTATTTATTATTATTGCATATTTATTATTATTGCTGCAAGCTGAGCAGCATCACTCCAGGGGATAACAGTGCCCGAGCAGCCTGGTTTGTACCATGGGCACTGCTAACACTTGGACATGTGCATAAACAGAAGGAATTCCTCACCTCTTTTGCTGATGTTGGGGTTTTTTGGGGGCCAAAGTTTGGTCCAAAGTCTACCATACCTTATTTCTAAATTGGAATCTTTACATTGTTGTCCAAAGCTGTCCATGTTCCAATAAGGATCTGAGATTTTTACAGCTCCTTTTCCTCCTTTTCACCTCTAATAAACCTGGCTGAACCACATGGTCCTTGCTCCAAATCCAGCATGAAAACCAGGGTATCTTAAAATAACATTTCAGTTTCCCAAGTGCTGTGCATCTCAGATTTAAAAAGAAGAGTCTGAAACTCTTTACATCTACACTCCTTAAAATGGAGTGTAAATCTCCAGCCTTAAAAGTCTGGAGATGGGTCTGAATCCTGTTAAAAATCTGGAGGTGGTTCTGAATTCATCCAAAATAATCAATTTTGAGACCAGCCTCATATATTTTTGACAAGGGACTGGAACACAATTTGTTTCCTATCAGTTTTGTTTAGAAAATGCCAGATTTGGAATAAATACTGACCCCCAGGGTAAGCACCTTCCAGTGCCAGAGCAGGAATTGATTTCAGTGTGTTCCCACTGCAGCAATTAAGAGATGCACCTAAAAATCCTAAAGATGAACTTCTGTTGGGATGCAACCAGCCAGCAGTTCTGCCTCCCATGGAATAATAATAATAATAATGAAGATAATAATTAATAATTAACAGGGTTTAGCAGCAAGTACCTACCTGGGGAGGGAAGGGATCTGGGCTGGCTGCAAAGGCAAGCAGCAGCAAGATGCTGCTGTCCTTGGTCCACCCCAAAGGAAAAAT